CTGGCCTGCGGTGGCGGCCGCGATGCCACGGAGCGGCAGATGTTCGCTGCCCGCGTGGTCATCCTGCTGGTGCCGTCCACCGTGATCCTGGCCTCCTATGGGGCGGTGGCGCGCGCCGTGTGGGGCATGCGCGCCAGCGGGGGCCGCAGGAAAGCCTTGGGCACCTGCGGGTCGCACCTGACCGCGGTCTGCCTGTTCTATGGCTCAGCCATCTACACCTACCTGCAGCCTGCGCACAGCTACAGCCAGGGACGGGGCAAGTTTGTTTCCCTCTTCTACACTGTGGTCACACCGGCCCTCAACCCACTCATCTACACCCTCAGGAATAAGGAAGTGAAGGGCGCAGCCAGGAGACTCCTGGCGCGAGGGCAGGCTGGACAGTGAGTTCAGCTGGCGGGAGAGTGTTAGCCCAGCTCGAGGACGGAGCTGCCCCTTGGCAGGTCTGTCCCCTCAGCCTCAGCCTGTTGACCCTTTATGAGAATCGCCAAGACCTGTCCTCGCGGAGTCCAAAGCTAATGGGAAGTCCCTTTCCCATCAGGAAATATGTTCCTGTGCTTGAGGACAATCCCTGTGTCCTCCACAGATGCCAGCTTAGGGAGGGGTCATGGCCTCCAGCTTTTTTCTGAAACGGGAAGAGAAAGCATGACTTAGGGATATCGTTTCCAACCCAAGGGTACTGTAGAGCCCTGAGAATCCATAGAGTGATAAGAGGACGTGCGACGTGATGCTTCGTCATGGCTCTCTCCCCATCTGGTGTCCTGAAAGTCACCATGGAAGGCCTATGGTGTCTGCAACAGGTGTCTCAAATTGGCAAGAAATTCAAAGGCTCTGCCCTACAGGAAACCTCCATCTAGAAAAAGGAGCATGTTTGTGAGAGGAATCAGTCCCACCCAGTGCTCACCAGCTCGGTGACCATGCCCACAACATATTTCTAGACCACAGAGTTCAGCAAAGAGGACCTCACAGCGTGAGTTTAGTGGGTGGGTTAGCTTGAGAAACTCTGCTTTGGGGGGGTGGTTCTTGAGCACATTTTAAAGAGAAGGGAATAGTTTAATGGAGAAGAGGTGGGTGTGTGTCATGTGAGAAAGGTGAGAGGAACAGTGAGACAGAGCAATAAATGAAGGGAGTGAATTGGAACAACTGGAGTATCCAAAGTGGAACATCAGCTGGTGGTGAGGGAAGCGGTGAGGAAGAAGCACAATGCACCAGGATTTGGGCAGTGTCTGGGTCCAGCCAGAAAGCAGCTCCTGCCCAGCCTCCCTCAGTTAGAAGCCCCAGCCCAGACAGGACTTCCCAGACCTTGGATGTGCAGAACAGAGATGGCTCCACCATCCCCTGCCTTTCAGCAAATGGGTCCCTCTGAAAGGCAATCTGCTCCTAAGGAAACTACACAGGAGACATAAAATCTCTAGCTGTCCAGGGAAGAGTATTCCATGCCCACTATTATCCCCAGAAAGAAGGTCAGTTTTAATTGGGTATGGGACACAGCAAGAGGGAGCACATGCCAGGGTGATTTCATACACAGTTTTAAATAAGGACAGATGTAATTTAACTGAACTTCCAAATTTTTTATTAGATGATGATCATGTAGGGTAATTAATTCATTTCATATCATTTCACTGTTCTCTATATGTAAAATTCAGTTTGGCTCAGCAGTTATGCAAAGTATGATAGCTGAATCCCTGGGTCAACATAGAAACACAGAAATTAATACAACAGGAATTAGTTCAATGGGAAAGTAAATGTCAAGTTTTCCATAAATCAGTCAAGTTAATATTAAATTGCAAGCTGGCTTTGAATGCTATCTCTATTGTCCTTAAAATTTATTTCATGGCCCTAGGAATATACTCCATACAGCATTACCACTTATACCATTCCAGCAAATTCACTTACATTATCATCATGCAAAATTTCCTTTACCTATGTATTTTTTGTCATTAATTTGAAAAGTATCAAGGATTTGATTGGCAAGTAAGAACTAGAAGAAAATATTTCACTTCTCTGGTATCACTCCTTCCCAAGGGTGGTCACCCCCCAACACAGAAAGGGGTCAGGAAGAAAGTAGTGCTCTTTTTGATGCCATACTCTGCCATGGTCTTCCCATCTTCCAGTTTCTTCCCATTGCAAGTCACAATCTGTCTCTCAGGGGTTACACCAGTGCTGCCCTCAATCATCTCTTTCACCTGAGTCACCGAGCTGGACCTTCGCACCTGGAGGAGGTGCCTTTGCCCCTGGTCACCTGCCTCCACCAGAATCACGGGCAGCTCCTCGTCACTGGGCGTCACTACCTTCAGAGTGAGGTGGATGGTTGTCTCCTTGTCAATGCCGTACGATGACAGCGTTCTGCGGGGCTCTAGGGTCTTTGAGCCGAGCATAAGGACCTGGTCCTGCACGGGAATCTTGGTGCGAGATCGGACATATTCATTGATCTTCCTCACTCTGTCACCAGAGTTGGCAGGGAAAGTCGTTAATTTCCATTCCTCAGAATGGACATGCACCTGGACGACAAAGCACAAGGGACAGTTGCTGAGAATGCTTGTCACCTTCACACGCCTTAAGTGCTTCCTGTCTTGAGTTGCTCCCACCCCTTCTCTGCCTGTCTGATCCTCCAGCTCCTTTACAGGAAGTCATGCCCCTCCATTTTCTGGAACTTGTCTTTTGGAAATTCCAGTTTTTGACACAAGCAAGAAATCAGTTTTATTCCTCTACAACCACGCCTCTTTTCCATCCAAAATGTCATTAATAATTCCCACCTCTTTTTTTTTTTTTTTTGTCAAGTGCCCTGGAGATGGTATGACAAATATCAAAAGCAACATCTACATATGTACGCCAGGCTCTGCAGATAACACCCCAAAAATAATTTCTGAGTCTTGGCAGCTTGTTGGGACACTCACAGGGCTGCTCACCATGACTACCTTAGAGAAACTGATTAGGACACAGTCTCTGTACTGTTGGTTTCTTTTTTAATGTCCCATTGTTTTTATTACAGTCACCTACATGTTATTATAACAGTATGTTCAATGTCACTTGCTCATCTGTATTTCCCATGGTCTCAGATCTACCTACTATAGAATATTATCTCCCAGTTAGACCAGTCCCCATTCACAGAGAAGAGGGACTATGTCTGACTCCTGCTTCAATAACCTGAAAATGGGAAGCTCACCCCTGCTTTTTCACTTGAAAGTCTTGGGAAGGACTCCATCATGCTCCATTCAAAACAAACTTCCTAAACAATAATTCTATTTTCAACAAACTCCCCACCACTTTTTTTGGGTCTGGGCAGCTCCAATTGCTGGCTAGTTTCAGGACAGTGAAGTGATGTCAAAACAGACCTGATTGGGAAGGACATTAATGGCTTCATTGGATTTTAAACCAGATCCAGATAAGAAAAAAAGTAAGTCCCCTCATTTCCTTTGTCTGGGGTAGCAAATTCCATGTTTTTTTACTAAAAGGGGATGTCTTGCTTAAATAAAAATAACAGTAAATGTTTATCTGTGTGAAGGATTTCTAGATAAAGTTATATTCCTGTGGCATGTGACCGTAACTTCTCCTTTATTATTACAAAGATTGTTATTTAAATAGTGATCAAAATGGCACATTTCAAAATGTGTTTATAATTAAACTTTCATGCTCTTATGGGAATATTCCTAATCTAGATGCCACAGGAACTTCACGGACGGTCACTCGTGGGGAAGCATTGCCCTCAGTCGGGTCTCCTCAGATGCCTGCTGTCTAGACTGGGGAGGCATCGGGTCAGTACTACTTAGGATAGTTGAGTCTTGTGAATTTCTCTATGGGGAGGAGAGGGAAGCATAAAGTCCTGAACCCCTAGACAGGATAAAGTGAAAGGGGCCCATGATCATATTTTCAATCTCTAATCTTTCCGCCATCTTGGCACAGAGCTCACCCCACTCTGTCATTTATCCCTAACTGTGGCCAGTGTGAGATCTGACATGAAAGAGAGCTCAGCTGACCAACTTCCCTGGATAGATCTTTCCCGAGTATTGTGTAGGTATCAGTGCCCCTCTCAGCCCCCTCAAGGTCTCTTCCCAGCCACTGGCCTCCCTGGGCATGGCCCCCATCCATTCTCACCATCTCTCCCTAGCCCTGGAGGGGCTTCCCTGTTCCCATGCCCGTTATCATCCCTACTTACTTGTAGGGTGGAAGTGGCAGCAGCAGCCATCTCGTTCAGAAGAGCGTAAGCAGGATCACGGAAACCAGGAATGGAAGTGCACCTCCTTATATGCAGGGCTCCTCACCTGCTTATATGCAGGGCTCAGCTGGAAATCCCCTACTGGGCGGCTGTGTTGGCCAATGTGTGATGTTTTTTGTTCTCTTTCACTTTTGCTTGCTGGAGAGAATGGCAAAAAGACTTTGCAGTAAAACAGTTTTCCTTCAACAATCCATCTGCTCTCTCATTTTTAAAGACACTATGATCCATTTTTGTTGAGTATTTTCCCCTGATTAACATCCTTGCCCACCTCATCCGACCCCCCTCTTCCTGATTTATGACTGTCCAGTATACATTTCTGTGTTCGCACTGGAGAGAACATTTAATCCTTTGTGGTCCTTCCTGCTGCTTGTCAAAGGCCTTCCTGAGCGAATGAGCCGGGAGCGAATGAGAATCGATGTGACTATGAGCAGCCTGTTCCCACCAGCCTGTCAGGATGTGAGCAGTGTACCTGGAGAGAACATGGTGTAAAGAGCCCTCCTGAGCAGAAGAGTAATGTCCATTCCCAAAGGTGCCCCTGCTATGTTGCCATGGGAAAGTCTGCTCATCAACTTTTATGCTTGGTTTCTAGTGTATAAAATGGAATCATCAAAGAAAATTCCTAAGCCTTTTCTTGGGTCACAAACTTTCATGGTGTGATGTGTTGTACAAAGAATTCCCGGTCTTAAGCTCATTAACCAACATCGTACCTACCCCCAAACTTGCAATGCAAGCGGCTATTTGAGAACATTTCCAAGGCTGTAATCAAAGGTTCACTCCCTTCTCCCACTGGACACCCCAACAGCTGTATCCAGTTTCACATCACGGTGCCTCTGTTTCCCCCCTGACTCCTGGGCACTCCAACTGTGAGCTCAGAAATGGCTAAGGTGCTACTTCTCTTGGGAATTGGATGGGGTAGGCAGGCATGCTTGATGCCTTCAGGGAGTTGACTCAACCACTCTGGTCCTCCTAATTTTCCAAACTTATTGCAGCCCTCTCCCAAACTTTCAGGATATTGCTCCTGAGAGCAATGTATATACGTATATATATTTGTATAAATATATATATTTATCCAAATATATATATACACACATATACATATATATATACATATATATACACACATATATAATAGTTGTCTTTAATTTTGTTTTACATATGTGTATATATACACATATATACACATATGTATATATGTGCTCCAATTTTCCCCCAAAGTTTAAAATCTATAAAAAACAGCCATTTACTGTGACCATCCAATGTCACAGGGGATTTTGGACCTGGGACATGAAAGGAACTGAGTCCCAGAGACTGGAGTGAGGGACTGAGCTCCAGGCTCCAGTGTAGTTTTTATTTCTCCAGGTTTTTTATTCCCACCTTCTCATCATTAGCATTCTAAACATGACATCGCTTTAACACTTCATCACAGACCTTATTTTAGCATTTTGCTAACCATCTGTGAAAATTGTATGTGGCATTATATCATGCAGGCAGTGCTTGTGATTAAGAAAAGTTTTACATTATCAAATTAATGCTTACATTGTTGAAATAAGGATCAAAGTTATAAAGTGGGTGGTTTCTCGAGGAACATTAACCACCTCTGCCCACACTAGGTGGACATTCCTGTGTGCAGATGATGGGTCTAGGGCGAACCAGAAGAGTCTGCCCAAGGTTCCTCCCGGGAGGTCTGGCCACTGGTCATGTACCCTAGAGGCCCATTTTCAGATCTTGTTTGTGGGAGTGCGCTCAGAGATCCAATCACAGGGACCCCGCCATAGTCCACATAGACCCACAACATGTACCAGGCTGTGACTCTGTTATTTCTCCGCAATCAAAGAATTTCCACCCTGTAGAAACTAAATTTATAGAAATCTATACAGAGTAATGCTATCTGAGAGCTCAAGGCAATATTAAAACCAAACCAAACCGAACAGAACAATACTTGACACATAGCTTGTTCTTACATTAAACTCTTTTTAGCCAGTTACTAAAACTGGAATGAGTAATTACTATTTCAATGTATTTGCAGGGTAGACATATTTTAAATGCTTCTGCTAATAGGAGGGGAGAGTGCATGGTGGGTCAATTGCAAAGCTTGGCCCTGCTGTTCTCTTTATAAATATGTCTCCAAATTTCTATCACCTCTTATGCTTCAAAACCAAGAAACTGTTGGTTGCAGTACAGCAGAAAAGGACTCCTTGTACCCCCTGTCCAATAGGATCTGGGGACTCTGAATCATCACCAGTGACCAGGCAGAACATGTGAGGGAAGGTTGAGGGAGGTAGTATGTGAAGGGCTGCAGAGGAAGAGAAGGTATTGGGCCTGGAAAGAGAAAAAGAAAAAGAAAAAGAAAAAGAAAACGCTGTAAAACCCAGACTTGAGGAAACTGCTGCCATACATTTTGTGTGCATTAGTAACACCTGAGGCTTGTCACTTCATGTAGTCGGGGTCCTGAGGTCAAGGACAGTTGCAGGTGGTGCCCTCCCTGAGGGGATTGCTGTGAAGACAAAACAGCCTCAGGGCTGCTCTTGGAGAGGAAATAGCAATGACTGGAGCAGAAAGAAAGAAGTAGAGTAGGAGAAGGAAGAAGGCTCCTGAGTGCCTGGACACCTGGTCTCGGATGTTGACTCTGCTACTGGATGGGTCCTGGCTCTGTTTCTACATTCAGACTCTGGCCTGGCTCCAGGGGAACCTTATCAATTCCCTTTCATGTATTCAAGTCTCCCTATGTTCCAGCTGGGCAGGTGTGGAGACTTAGATTTTAACCTCATTACATGATACCCTGGCAGGAGTGGCGCCCTGACACAAGCTATGCAATGTCTATCTGTCTGACAGATTCTGAGTAGATTGGGAAAAGCTCTGAAAAATCAGACTTTCCACTGCTAACTTGTTATAATCTCCCTTTTTTGTATAATCGTAATATCAAAATATTCTGAGCAACCTGCAGCTTACAATTGGATTGCCTCAGCCTCAGAAGGTGCTACCTGGCCCTGACAACCAAGTACTGCACCAGGGTGAGAAATTCCTCTTGAAGTCAAAAGTCATTAATAAAAACAAATGGCTGTTACCGCAAAGTCTCTCTCACTGCCAGACTGAGGAAAACCCAAATCTTATCACTCTATCTCACACAGCCTTTTATTCAGTTTCTAAATACCCACTCAAGCTTCACCCAAGTCGCCTATACAGAGCTAATCAGGTTTTCTACCATCTAGACTTCAAGAAAACTCACTTAAAATCTTTTAACAAGTTTTTCATAGAACCTTACCTTAATTTGATTTACAAGAAATTTCCTCTTCCTGCCCTCACTTTATCCCCTAGGATGTCTCTATGAGCATGAAAGCCCTTAAGTAAAAGATAATGTTTCAGGGACTTTATTTTGGTTAATCTTCACTGTGGTAAATATAGTAAAATTAGTCTTAAACTTTGTGAATCTATGTACTTGTTTTCACCTTGATAGATTGATTTTTAAAATGTTATAATCTCAACTAAAGGTCAAAAGGACCCCAGACTATTCTTAGCAAAAAGGTGATTGTGATCTCAGCCCATTTCATATGCTAATGTCATCCCTCTTCCTGCTTGAAATGTATAAAATAAACCTCTGCTGAAGGCAGAGCAGGAAGACTTGCACCCAACTCCCATTCCCGTGTCTTCCTGGCGCCCGCTCCCCTTTTTTCCTTTTTTCCCCTTTTTCTAGGAATCTCCGTTCGCCTAAGCTGTTCCCACCTTGAGACCCTGCCTGTTCTGCCCCCTATTAATCCGTGATCAGGGACAAAGTCTCCCACAGCGCCCTTTTGCAGGGATGGTGCACTCTGGGAAAGGAGTAAAGGCAGATGCAGGAAAGCGGAGGCTGCAATGCGGGGGTGGGGTGGGGGTAGGGGTGGGTGCCAGGAGCAAGGGAGAGTGACAGCATCATCCCTCTGCCAGGCCCTGCCTGAGCCACCCTGTGTTTCCCACCAGGCAGAGTGACAGGAGCCTGGGATGCAGGACTCAGAGCCTGGGGGAATCCAATGCCCAGCCTGGTGTAAGGCACAAACACTGCTCTCCCAGGCCTGTGATAAAGGGCACTGTCCAGGCAACAGGCCACGTGGCAGTGGGGAGACCATCCAGTCTGCTGGGGATTCACAGCAAAGTCGAGGGCAAACCTGGAATCCTCACAGGAAAACTATTAATGTATCACTAAAGGATCTCTGCTCTGTGACAGAGCAGAGAGCATCTGGTTTCTGAGAAACAGTGTCCTTTCAAGGAATCTAAACAAACAAATCTGGACTTTCATCCTTCTCTTTTCCTTCCTTACGTCCTGTGTGAAGTCCTCAACCAGTCAAAGCTGGGTGTAGGGTGTGTCAGACTATGCTGCCCTGTGTGGCCACAGGGTGGGTTTTCTTCTGGGACCTGCTCTCTTCTTGGCTTCTAACCACAGTGTCCACCTGACTTTCCCCTCTTCCTGTCACAGTAAGTTTTTCAGAAACAGAAAGTCCTGCTACCAAACTCATGAAAACAACAAACGTGAAAGATCCTGTTTTGGAGATTTGTCAGGTCACAGAACACTAGTTTACACCTTGGCCCTAGGTGATGGGACAGCCTTGGGCTACATTCTCTCCCAGTGAGGCTTCCCTGGAGCAGAGACCTCTTTCTGATCTCTTTATTAATGCCATGAGCAAGTTGATAAAACTGCTTTGAGATGTGGAAGATTGCTTCAGAAATGCCAGCCAAACTGAATCAAAGGCTACTGCTGTGAATCATCACTTACTGATGGTTGTTGTCTCTCAAGGAAGGACAACTTTGGAAACACCTCTGGACATTCAAGATCGGCATGCCAGACACTAAAACAACCCAAAACAAAGATGGGGGAGAAGAGAGAAGTCCGCATGCAAAGATTTGGGGCTCCCTTACTTTATATTATATTCCTTGATCTGTGGTTAGCTATTCAATAGTTAGTGATGATGCATATTGGATAAAGTGATAGATGATAATCT